CACAGGGAGGCAGACAGGCCGAGAGAGAGAGACGCACAGGGAGGCAGCCATTATCTTCAGTCTTCTCCAATAATTCCATCCCCATCTGTGGATGCTGTCTCAGGCTGAATCAGTCTGCTGACAATTTTAACAAATGGTTTGAATCTGATCTGAGTTCCCCAATCACATCCTCTCCATTGCAAACTCTGCACTCTCTGGCACTGCCCTTCTCTGCTCCTGCCTCCCGCTGCTGTCAAAACCTTCATCTAAACTTGATTTTTCATTTTTAGAATTACCTCTGTGTGTTGGGCACACTGTTGGTTCATTACTCTGCTGATCAGCTTTTATTCTTCTTAGCAGGTTCTTACTATTGTAAACTCGATTGGCCTGAATGAGCAAGAGCTGTTGTTCATCAGTCAGGCTGGTTCAGGACCTCACTCTTTGCAGAAGCATTGGAATGGGGCTCCTGATGTTGGAATGGTTAGTGATATTATTTTCTGGCTTCTCAAAGAATATGGACGCACTGATTCACGCAAGGATTCGGATTTAACTCGTCTTCATTTCCACACACTGGCCTATCACATCCTGGCAACTGTAGATGGTTACTGGAATAATCAAATATCATCTCTTGTGGCTGGTGCGAGAGTTGCTGGGAATCAGGCATGTGGCACTGATGCGATCGATCCAACAAAAGTTGTTCTTGAATTTCCCAAAGAATTTGTTCTCTCACAAACAGACGGATTGCTGAAGAGTAAGAAAGTGACTTTGAACCCAGCCAACCCTGTGCATACGTGGCACAGAGAAAACATCTCATTTTTCATCACTCCTGTTCTGATTTGTGTCAATCCAGTAAGGACAGTGGGATTGGGTGACACTATCTCTGCTGAAGGGCTTTTATATTCTGAGCGGGTGTCTTTTCTGTGAACCTTACTGTGGAAAAAGACAGAACAAAGCTCTGTATTTAAGGCAAATGCTCTGTGTTTAGTATGTAGGAATTGGGGTGGTGGTGGTGAGATACGACTCTAGTAGGAGCAGGAAGCACAGTTGAGGCTTTTGCTCCTTTTAGACCAAAGCCTGATGTATAAAAGTTGACCAGGAATTGACCTAGTCACTCCCTTTTTCTTTTTGCTATTTCCATTGATAATGTCCCTTAGTCTCTATTGTATCTGATACAATTTTAATATTCTTTCCATCAGGAAACGACTGCTAGTTCTAATTTCTTTTTGTTATGTTAAAATGAACTTTGGAAATCTCAGTGGAGAGTGTTGTCTTGTCTGGGATACCATAATTTTGTGACTGGCATATTTTCAGTGTTGTGGGTTACATGATGCCAATGTTAGATTCTGATTCTTCACCTTGAGAACCTGAATTCTGATCCAGCCCAGTGTGTTTGGGTGAAAATCTTCACCATCTGATAGCTGTGGGGATCTTCAGTTGGTGGTTTTAATTCAATGGGTTTGTTTACAACACAATACTTCCACTAATTTGACACTAATGAGGAATCTCATTCAGAAACCAAAAGATAATCAGTATGAGAGGTGGAATGCTCACGTGATTAATGCAGTGGGACACTTTGCTGAGTTGGGAGTTGATGCATCTTATTGGGGCATTGCAGAGAAATCTTTACTACTGTAGTTGGATCTTGAAGTGCTTTATTTTGCAATCCCAGAGCAGATTGAATAAGCCTCTAGAGGGTGTACACTGAAGACTTAAAGGGAAAATTCAACTCCAGGAGAGGGTCTACTCATGGCGGCTGCTTATACTCTTGTAAGTGAGAAGTTAATGTAAATAAAGGTACAGTTTATAAAAAAGTCTTTATTTGCAAAATGTGAAGATTCATTTAAGCTGTCGGTTTAGTGTGACAATTTCTGGAGCTGGAGAACAAAACTTACTTTCTTTACAGTCTATGCTCCCGTCTTGGTACGTGATAAATACAAGAGAAATTAGTTGAAACTGTTTTCTCTTCCTTAGCTGTGATAGACCGATATCAATCAGTACTTCATCTGTGTTACATAGCTCCAAATATTTCGCCACAGATTTGGTAGACTGTGATGTAGAATTGTGCAGGAGTTTAAATGGTCACATTCTGTTACATTTTACTGATCCTCAATGACAGAAATTCAACTGATCTTTCTTCAAATGATTGTTATACTGAATGGTTTGGGTTTTATGTCTTCTATAGGGTATTAGGTGAGGTTAGTAATTTGTATTTTTATGCTTAACTAAATAGCTACTAGCTAATAACATTGATTCAGGGAAAGAAAAATCTCTTCCAAAACAGTGGGATCCCTGAATTTCTATTTATTTAAGGAGGATTTGGTGAAATAAAGAGCAGCTGAAGGGGGAAAATTGCTGAGTTTTCCCTGTTTTTAGAAAGTGTTTGAACTGATTTTGATCATGATTCTGATTTTTAGCTATGCGTGACCTGGCTGAAGAGAAAATGTAGTTCTGCCGAGTAACAATGTAAATATAAAAGTTCCAGTTCCCACAGAGATGCTGTCCTGAATCAGTTGACCGGGGAGTTGTAAAGTTTGATTTACAGTCTGTGCTGAGTCAGCTAATTGCCACAGTGGGGTGCAGCTATAGTGTTCTGTAGTTCATTCTGGACCAGAACAGAACAAGCTGAGGTTCCTGATCTGCGTGGCTATTCTGGTATCCCTGGTGCAGACTCAGATTGTTGTTTAAGGGGCTGAATCAGACTCAGCTGTTGTGTTCCACAGTGGAATAGCCTCCACAATAGAATAACAGAACTGCATGTGAGGATTGGGCATTAGGGCATGTGTAATAGAGGTTGGATGTCTGGCATAAATGAGAATCTGAAAATCAGCTTGTCTTCCTCCCACCATTCACCCCAAATTACAGATTATCCCTTTGAGAGTAATAGTTGAAGCAGAAGCAAATGGCAGAATTAGTGGCGTGTGCAGGTAACCTCCCTCTCTCTCTGAGCTTTTGGGAATATTGCTGAATCATCGACACACTGGGGCTTAAACTGCTTCTTCCTTTATTCCTTGATGGATTCTTGCAGGAAATCAGTTCCACTTGTATTGGAAATATTGATTTGAGTGTTTTAATATTTGCTTTCTGCTTTTTAACTTTCTTAAGCAGTGAGTTAAATTCTTTGTTCTCCCTGTCTCCTAATTCCTTTTAAAATTTAAAAACTCCTGGATTGTGGCTGCACTGTCACATTTTTCAGAAGGAAGAGAATTTTTACAAGAGGAGGTTTGGTGAATGTTCTGTTGGCTGTTCATTAAACCTTTGCTTTTCACAGGCCCTTAGTGCCAGAGGCGTGTCTGTAACTGAAATTTCACATTGTGGAATGTGTACATGATGAAACAATTTAAAGTAAATTGTCTACTTAAAACAATTTTTAAATTGCTGAATTTCCAAGCTTATCAAACTATTTTCACAAATGCACAACAATGTAATCGCTTCAGTGCACTGTAACAGACAGTGGAATGATGTGCAATGCTGAGCATTTGTATAAAAATGAAAGGGAAAAATAGAATTCCTGGAACATTAATCGTGGTGCTGCAATGAAGTGTCTAACAGCTGATTGTAACTTTGGATCTGCATTATAATACAAATTTGTCAGTAAGCTTGCCGTTCTTATTGTAGGCATTCCCCAAAGTTGTGGGAATGTTCATTAAGCCCAGCAAAGTGTATCCTTCAGCATAGCCTGCTTGTACAGAAACACCAGAGGCTATGTGCTGCTTGGGGTGAACTGGATCTGGTCTTTCTATCACCACATTGTCTACAGTTCTGGGCTGCCTGTACTTGACAGTACTGTCGAAGATGGCTCCAGCTGAGCATAGCTGCCGTTTCTGTCTATTTACCCCCTCTTGTGGCACTGCTGAGAACAACACAAGTTTATCCACAAAGGGCAGGAGATTTGTGGCGGTCTCATTGTTCAGCTAGGATTTGACCATGTGGCTATTCGAGCTTCAGTTCATTTGCAAGGACCAACTTTTTAGTTTTCTCCATAATAGATACATTGTTAGCATGAACAAAACTTTTATGGTTTAAATTGCGGCAGATTTTGCAGAACGATATTTGACACGGTTTCTGTTGACTCTTGCTATTTTAGTTAACACTATGATTGCTGTATGTTATCTTTCACATCTGTGTAAAGAGAAGCCTGGTGGTAACTCATGGGCATTTGTTAGCTGATTTCATGCCTTCTATCTCTTGATCAAAGTGCTGTTGTCAAACATTACTCGAAAATCTGATTTTTTTCTGTTAAATTTGTGGTTTAAGGCACTGTATCAATCTAGTGAATATATAACTTTTTTTAAAGCAAGATTTTGCAATAAATTTTTTTTCTAAAAATGTAGTGGTGAAAGCTGTTTTCTATTTGAGGAGTGTGTTATTTGTTCAGTGGCAATGATTGTAAATATGCTTTGGTTGTGTGCAATTCTGCATTGATTCTATTAGAGCATGTCTGTTTGTCCATTATGTTCTGCCCCAAGGCCAGGACTGAAACACCAATCTCACATGGGCCTTCTGTGCTACTTATGAGGGAGGAATACCTGATGCAATTTCTGTTGCCTTCCTCATGGTTTTTAATCTTCATGGAGACTGAAATAGTTCCATCTACCCTTTACTATGAAGTAGCTGGGGGCTGTCTCCTTTCATAAAATCCAAGTATCCTACTGGATTATTAATCCCAGTATTTTGATTTAGCCTTCTAAACAGAGATGAAGTACCATCTAGAGTGGAACCCGAATCATCATTTATCACTCCCTCTGGATGTTAGCCCAACTAGAGAACATTAATCTAGGACTACCTTATACTGAGGGAGTGTGGCAGAATTAGAGAGCTAGCAGTTAGATGAAACATTAAACTCTTTCCCTCGTCTGTTGGTGTTTAAAAACAAAATCTCGCAGTGTTATTTGAAACTAGGAATGGCCATTCCAATGTCTGTCTCCAAAAATAGCATCATTTAAAATAAAAAATCTTATTTTTGGATCTTATTATGTAATGTTTCCAACATTAAAACAGTGGGTTGAAAAAGCCCACTTCATTGACTAAAGAGCTTTGGATTTGATTTCACATTGTGAAATGCTCTGGCATGATCCCAGCTTGGAATTGTTGGTTGGTTCGCAGAGCTGACTGGGTCTTGTGTAAACGTTTTGTCTCCCTTCTAGGTAACATCTTCAGTGTTGTGTAGCCTCAGCTGAAGCACTGTTGTTCTGTCATGCTCTGAATTTATATGGTCCAGTCTGTCATGGTGGGTAGTCTTGTTTCCAGTTTTGTACTGTAGTGGTAAGTAGATGGGGTCTATTTCAACACGTTTGTTTATTGCACCGAAGGTTGAAAACCAGGCTTCTGGGAATTCTCGTGCTTGTCTTAGTACTAGGGCAAGCAAAACAGTAACTTTGTCCCAGTTAAACTGATGTCCTTCTATGTTGGAGTGTACTGAAACGAGGGAGAGTTGATCGTGCCGTTTTTCTGAGTTGGTGTTCATGTATCCTGGTTGTGAGTTTCCTGCCCGTCTGTTCTATGTAGCATTTCTCACAGTTGCTGCACGGTATTTTGTATATCACAATTTTCCTGCTCATTGGGGCCCAACACACTGGTCACCCTACCCTGTATTAGAAACACATCAGAACTGACTACAAGACTCCTACAACCTCTTGGAATAAGGATAGCACACAAACCAACAGCTACACTTCGCCAGTTACTCTTAAAGATGAAAGACCCCATACCCACAATGAGCAGGACAAATGTGATATACAAAATACCATGCAACAACTGTGAGAAACACTACATAGGACAGACTGGCAGGAAGTTTGCCACTAGAATACATGAATACCAACTTGTAGCAAAATGGCATGATCAACTCTCCCTCATTTCAATACACTCTGACATAGAAGGACATCAGTTTAACTGGGACAAAGTTACAGTACTAGGACAAGCAAAACAAAGACAAGCATGAGAATTCCTGGAGGCCTGGTTTTCAACCACTGTTGCGATAAATGTTGAAATGGACCCTGTCTACATCCCACAATGGTACAAAACCAGAAACAAGACTAGCTACCCTGACAGAAGGGCCCATATAAATTCAGAGCGTGATAGAACCATGGCCTTCAACGGAGGCTAAACAGCACTGAAGATGTCACCTAGAAAGGAGTCAAAATGTTTGCACGAAAACCAGTCCGCTTTGTGAACCAGCCAATAACTTAAACCACAACCTGAGCTACAGCTCTTCCTTAAAATATGATCCCATCTTGATTATCCAATTAATCTGATTGTATGGCTATGATGAGTTCCAGTCTAAATTAATGAAAAGTTGAAGCTTTAATTATATGTAGCTTCTTTCAGACTCCAGTGATGCTAGGCTCCTGTGACTGTCTAGAAGGTTGTGATGAGGGTTAGTCTACTGAACTAAATCCTAAAATTTAGTTTTTATTGCTGTTAAAATTTGGACCAGAGCATTGAGTCTAGTCCTTACTGGTACTGAACTGTATACTTTACCTTAGATTCCAGTCCCGGTTCTACTGGGCAGTGATCCTGCTCTACTCCTCCTAGTCCGGGTTTTAGCGGGTGGTGATCCCGCTCCTGAGGACATTCCAGTCCGGGTTTTGGCTGGTGATCCTGCTCCTGAGGATACTCCGGTCCGCGTTTTGGCGGGTGGTGATCCTGATCCGCTCCTGTGGAGCGTCTAGTCCGGGTTTTAGTAGCTGCCCCCTTCCATGCTGGGTATTGTCCGTCGGTCCCGGCCGATCCCCGCTCCCGATCCCGGTTCCAATCGCGATCCGCGCTCTCTGCCCTTTCCCCCCGCCCCGTGCTCTGGGCTCGGGCTCAGGCTGGGGCTCGGCCCGCGGGCCCACCGAGGCCGCGAGGATGGCGGAGCCCGGGCTGCGGTTCATGCTGGCCCTGGCGGCACTGAACACGGCCACCGGCACAGGTACCGGGAATACCGGGAGGGGGTTGGGATACTGAGGGAATACCAGGAAGGGGTGGGTCATACCGGGATACTGAGGGAATACCGGGAGGGGGTTGGGATACTGAGGGAATACCGGGAGTGGGATGGAATACCAGGATACTGAGGGAATACTGGGATAGTGAGGGAATACCAACTTGTAGCAAAATGGGTGGGTAATACCGGGATACTGAGGGAATACCGGATAGGGGTGGGTAATGCCGGGATA